GGGATTCCTCATAGATGAGATATAGATAACCATAGTGAGAAAAATTCGTTTATGCACGTAATAAATGACTGTTGACCATTCCAAGAAGCCTAAGGGAATTGTCCACAGATATCCGTATGAATTAGTTCCAAGACGTCTGAAGCCCTATGGCACCTAATCTCCTTATATTTGTTTGTTTTCCCTCATTACAATTAACATAAACATTTAAGTGTGAAAAAATTAAGGGAATCAAAAATTCCTTATTACACAAGACTTTCCATTCTCTTCTGAGAGAAGTGACCTAATCGTTTGTGCTATAGCAAAGTAGAATTCTCATTGGTTAATTTATATTTAATACCACGCGGATTCACATACAAGATTTCTTTATAAGAGGCAACCGTATTAAACAGATAAAGGTTATCGTTACCGGATAAAAAACTGGTGCCCACAATATTTGAGATAAGAAAAAGATCAAACTGACTATGTCAAATTGAACAAGAGTAACCAAATTTGCCAAATGTAGAAATAGAAACCAAATTCCGTCCAAAAAGGACGGTACCACAAATGTCTCTTTCAAATCCAAATAATAACCGGTCTTTAAGATAATCCAAAGCCCCTATAGCCTCAACCTTAACTGATTGGTCATCGCCCCCACATAGATGAATCTTTCAGTATCAATTGGTTCTGGCGACTCAGACAACCCCGCATAGACACACTTATGTAAGTGGTGGTACCGAAATTTATCCACCAAGTGTGCCTAGGTATTGATATTAAATTTACCTCAAAACAAACCAAAGTGAGAAGTGTACCATGATATACACGCCAAGTGTGGTATTTAGTACAGTCTCTCTTTATATATCCCAAATTTTCACAAATTTTACAACTAAATTTATCATTTTCAGGCTTTTGCTGTTAATTTAAAATCGAACCAGATGCAGCTTTGTTATTCTATATTACTTGTCCTTAGAAGTATTCGCCAAGTGATTAATGTCAATTTTATCTTGCTTTGGTCCTTCTTCTTGCACACAACATGGAAATGAGCTCATTAAGAGTCAAATTTTCCCTTTTAACAGTTGTAACTTACCTTAATTAATCGAATTGTGCAGGAAGCAATATTAATACCAAATGTACGAGCAAGTCATCAGAGAACTAATACTTAATTAATATGTTCACATAGGAATCCCTATTAAACAATTAATCAATTCAAATATTGGTAAATCCCATCACAAGAGACCGAACACA